CCCCCACCCAATACCCCCCACTGCAGGCAGGAGCTCCCCACTCCACTTACCAGCTGTCCAGTGTCGTGCCACCATGCCACATGGAGCTCCCAGCTAGAGTGCTGGGAGCCCTGTGGAGGTTGAGACACAGAGCCTGCCTGGGTTAAATTATGCAAAAATATGCAGTTATACGCAGTCATGTATCTTATGTGCAAAATTGCACAGGTGCGTAACTGCATAATTCCCCAGGGTTTATACTGCGTTTAACCAGGTTCTAGTTTTTGGTCAAGCCTATTGAACTCCTGTTGTTTTACCAGAGCTTGGTTCCAGTTTAGGAGGGGGGAGCATATATGGCTTTGTGGGTCTTGCCAAGTTACCTTTTCTAGATGCTGACTTATGTTATCAGTCCTTTGCAGTTTGGGCAGTGGAACTAGTTCCGCAATACTTTTAGCTCACCAGTTGCTATGTAAACTGTCAGAGTAGAACCACGAGTACTTCTCCATACCTTCAGTACTTAAGTTGTGTTAAAGTGAAGTGCCTCCATCTATTTCAGCAGTGTGCACGCAAGGCAAACTGAAAGTATAAGCAGATTGTCTTAGCCTAGAAAACTTTCTTCCAAGAAGTATGAATAACTGTTTGCTAAGCAGCTTTGAAATCAACTGGATTGTTTCACAACTAGAGTCCTTGAACTTGGATGCATTTTTCCTTTGAGTGGTTGGGCTCCCCGACTGTTTACTGTTTCAGCTTTCCCATGTTTGCTAAGGATTGTTAGCAGGCTCTAATTATGTTGATCAAAAGTCCTCCTTACAGTTCATTTTGGACCTAAAACTTGCTTTCCTGGTTTTCTTCAAATGGTCATTTCAGCAATGACTACTATTTGAAACATTTTTTTGCAGTCAGATTTGGGCATTGATTTATCCCCTGGTAACATGTTCTGTATGATATTCTACAATGCCAAGCAGTCTGGTATTTAAGCTACATTCTTCTGCTGTTGCCTCAACAAGAATGATTCTCTCTTTAGGCTTTTTTCCATTCTGGGGATTCTCAAAGATGATTCAGTCTAGCTTTGATTAAATCCAAAATGCCAGGTTTTTCCAGTCTTTTTCTCTCCTTAAACATTATTTTTATAGTGATTCTTTTTTCAGGTTCTACGAAATTTCTTTATCTACATTTCCTCTGGGTAACTCAGCAATAAATATATTATCACTGAGGATCTACTGTAGTAAACCTCAAGCTTCTGTATCTTTGCTAGACCTGCCTTTGACTAGAACCTCACTGTGCTACGTAGTCATGCTAAAAGTAGTCTTCATTATTTTATACTACGCTGAATCGGGACATATTAGAAGAAGCGCTTGATTCTGGTTTTTCACATAAGGTTATTCTTCAAATCTCTTGTTTTTACCTAAAAAAAAAAATAGTTTCCTCTCTTTACACTAACCTGCAAGGTTGATTTAGTCTCCTTTTAGCTAATTCCTTTTGCGCTAAAGAGGTCACTGCTCTGGAATTCTTGATGACCATTTGCAATAAAAAAAAACACATCAAAATGCTTGAAGATACAGCCTTTTCCCTTGGGAAAAACATGTTAGTTTCTTCAAATTTTCCTCTTGATCTGAGGCATGTTCCACTAAACCATAGCTACTTGAGTTGCAGTGAAGAAACTTGCAGTATTGTGAATTCTGCTCCTTTTATCAAACATTACAAAATGGAAATTTCCTGC